AAATGGGAGATAGCCTTACAATACAATAAAATTTATCCCTTTGTGCACATAATTTTTCTAAATACTTAATGTCAATAGGTGATGTATGCTCAACATGAGTGCTTAGATTGGATTCAAAACTCATGTGATTGAAAATTCAAAATTGTGACTTTGATGGAAATGATTATAATATAGGGGTGGACAATGAAAGTTATATGGTTGGAATTGATTATGAAAATGGGATGTATTATTAGTGTTAGGTGCTGGAAATCAATGAGAATACATGTCAAATGAAGGATGGAATGAATCATAATGATGAAACTAAGCCATAAAATGCAATGAAACTTATATCCACAAGTAATGATGCAAATTCAAGCTCAAAATGATGGAATGATCAAGGAAGCTCAAATGATATGTCCTCTGCAAGTGTATGAGTAAAAATACATAACAATAATGTAATGAAATCAAGAAATCAAGAAAAAAAACAAAAATTGCAAAATGAAATGAAGAGAGAGTTAGAAAGGCTCAATTAGAAGGTACTATGCACGTTCTAGAAACTTTTTGGTTTACATCCTAGAGGAAGTGAGCTTGCGAGTTTTTTTGAAGAAAATCCACAAGTCAAAATCCCTTGAATATTTTATGAGAAGCAGATGAGATGTATAGGATAAGGTTATTAAAATTCCAGCAAAAAATTCCCTCCCAATCTTTCCCAAAAAATTTCACAAGTTGGTCCATAGTTCTGGAGAAACAAGATTTCATCTAGAAGACCTTCTGAATTTTGAACAAACTTTTCAACATGACAAAGGAAAAATCAAAGAAAATAATAAACACAAGAAACAAAGATAAGACAATTAGAAGAAATTTAAGACTAGAATTAGGCAATTTGGACACACAAAGTGATAGATATGCTAACTTAAAAGTTACCACAAGATTTTAAGAATCCTCTATATAGGCTCTCTGGACCTTTTTAGCTTGTAAAAATTGCAAAAAACAATCCTCACGTTAAAAATTGACCAAACCAAGTTTAAATGGAAGCTAAGAGATATAGCTACTAAACAAATTTCAAATCAAAACTCCTCCAAAATCATTCCCAATTAATTTTTCAATTTTAGGCAAAAACACAGAAAATAGAGTATTGTCAAGTACTACACTAAACCAATGAAAATTGCACTATTTTTTTTTCTTTTTTCAAAACAAAATACTCAAAACACAAGAAAACACTAAGAAAAACACAAAACACAATTTTTTTGAATTTTTTCAAAATTTTTCAGAAACACATAATGTAAATTAAGCACTAAACAACTTTAAAATTAAAACTAAACACATTCCTTGGCAACAACGCCAAAATTTTGATGTTGTTTGTTGCTTAACTCTCAAAATAAAACTAAATTAACCTTAATACAATACAGGGCTAACTTAAGTTATTTTTCAAGGAATGGTTTTAGTTTAACAAAAGGTTATCTAATGGAATAAATCACCCAAAGTTGTAAAAATTGATTACCTAATTACCTATGTAATTACTAGTTGACAAGTTATTAAAATTCTAGCAAAGGTAAATGGAATGGACTTCCCTTTTAAAGTAAGAACCCTAAGGTGTTGTTAATGGAAGAATCATAATCTCTAATTAATTATGGTAGCTTACTCAACTTATGTTCCTTGGTTGAAAAAATATTTACCTAAGACAACTATCTCAAACAACCTAGCTTCACTAATTCAATTTCTTAATTGCTAATTATAAGCCCCTTAGGTAACCTCACTAGCTTAACTCAATAACTAACCAAGTATTTAGTTAAAATTCATCTCCTAATACCACAGCCAATGTTGTACCCAAGCTCAAGACTGTGAAACTCAAGTAATTCATCAAACATTTACTAAACAATTACATGCAAAGTTAATACAAGACATTCATCAATTGAAATCACATATTACAATGCAAAATCACATAGTGGCCAAAATTTCCAACAACAAAAGGAAGTGAAATTCAAGTCAACAATCTTATTTCAACACTAATAATTACAACCAACTATGAAACTAAAGTCAAATTAAACTACAATCAACTATAGTCATAGTATTCTAGTGAAATTAAAACAAGAGAGTTGAGCTTAGCCAAATGAAAACTTCAAAGCTCCTCTTCCATCAACTCTTCCCTAAGATTTCATAGAGAATTTAGCTAGAAAACATTAAAAACAACTTGCTCCTCAAAGAACTCCAAGAGGCCGTGAGGTTGAAGGTGTCCATTAATGGATTAAGCTTCAAATCTTCTTACAATTGGTTAGGTTATGGTTGGCCAAAGGAAAGAAGAAGAATGGTGGAAGAATTTTTGAAATTTGATGGCTAGATGAAGAGTTATGGGTGCTAAAAAAATATAGAGAAAGTAAAGAAAAGGTAGAGAAAATGAAAAGCAAGATGAACTAGAGAGAGAAAGTGGAAGAGATGATGAAAAATGGGTGTTGGATCTGAATTTGGGGTAAATGAGACGTGCATTTGAGGTTTGGCATCAGCTGAAAATAAATAAAATAAAAAAAAAGGAATTTTAGGGCATTGTCATACTTGTAAGGTAACACCCTTCTATTAGAATGTCTTCAATCATGCCTTCAACAGTCTATTACTCTATTGCTAGATAATGTCCTTTCTAATTGCTATTGCTCACACCATTTAATTAAGAATGATAGATATATATGAGAACATCTACTTAATGAAGAGGGTTCGGCAAGATTGATAGAGGACAATGAGAATGAAGAGTGTAGAGAAACAGAGTGGACAAGGGACATCATAGAATTGAAAACATAGACGATGATGATGCCAATTGAAACAAAGGCAAATGAGAAATAAAAAGGAGAGGAAGGGAGGGACCATAGATCTTGAAGATGCTAAGTTTAGACTTGCAATTGAAGGGAACCATTGAAGGCGAGATGGACGGCCAACTCCTTAGGTAATTAACGTTCATTCAACAGTGGAGAACTAGGGATGAAGAAGGGTGTTGATGTTTAGGAAAGTTTGCTAAGAAGAAATAGCAATAAAATAATTTATATAATATAAATTAAATAAGAGAAATTTAAATTAAATGCTAAGTAAGCTCCAGCTTGTATTAAAATTTTGTCCAATGTCATGTTTTCATTGATCAATGTATAAATAAGGTGACAAATCTATCTCAAACTTTTTTCATCACTAGTTGCTTTTTTAACAATTTTAAGAGGACTAACAGTTCTAACAAAAAAATTTAAAGGACTTGATAAAAAGAAAAAAAAATCAAGCACCCAATTCAAAACAAAAGCAAAAATTAAACCAATGTTTTAAAATCTAGATCGAATTGGATGGTTATAGTGGTTCAACTGGCAACCAGAAGGTAAGTGGCTAAGTCGGATTGTTTAAACCAGTTTTTGAGTTCGTCCACATTTAGCTATTTTGAACCAGTTTTTGAGTTGGAAACTAGATTTAAACCAAGAATTGGGACGAGTCTAAGAAAACCAAGTGGCTTAAAAACTCACCTCACCCTTGAAAGTTTTGTCTTCTTCGCATTGCAGCATGTTCATGTTCTCCTTTTGTAATTGCAAGTTTGTCGATCTCTATTTATTCTATTCCCTCTACGAGTGCATTTAAAGGAAGATTAGGAGTTGTGGATATGGGTGGTCATGGGATAGGATGGGACTGGGACACCCTGTCTCATGTCCTATCTCGAAAAAATAATTAGGACTAAATTTTTATCTCCTGTCCCGTTCCATTTCAAAAGTCATCCCATTCCATTAGGAATCGAGATGGGACAAGGATAAGATTGAGATGTCCTACCATTTTGATAAAGCAAAATATGAGAAAAAGACTTGGATAATAATGTTTATTAATTAAAATTTAAATCACATCACTTATTAAATTTTAAACCAAAATAACACGGGTATATAAGTTACAACAATTTAAAATAAATTATTGAATTACATCAATCACAATTATAAGTGTGCAACTTAAAGTTAAGTATACATGAGACAAAACACGTTATGATAATAATTAAAAGTAATCTCTAAGTTATAAGAGCAATAACAATAGACAAGCTAGGTATAACATCAAGTCATTGTTCTTCTTTTTTAGTTGAAATATAATATAAATAAAAGTTATTAAATAGATATATAAATATATATATATAAATTGTATTAATATAATTAATAAATAGTAAAAAAATATCACCCTATATTTCTTAGTGTTATTAAAATTGTCAATTTAAAAAAATTTTTTTTAAATAAAAATTGCAAGTATTGAAATTATAATTAATATAATTATAAATTATATTAATATAATTAATATATATTTTTAAAATAAAAATAATATACACACATGTCTAATATTCGGCACGGGACATTTTAAAGGTAATTTTATATTCTGTTTCATCTCGAATCCTTTTCTCATCCCATTCTTCAAATTATGGTCTTAATTGTTTTTGAATCGGGACGGGGCCATCTTGATATGAGCAGGACTGGATTGAATGGATTGAAATGAGTATAAGTTGAATATCTCTAGTTGTGTAGGAATGAAAATGAAAGATGGAAGGGAGGAAATGGTGTGTGAAATTTGAATCCTTAGAATAATAAGAAGACGCTTAACAAGAGACAGAAAATAAAGAGCGGGCAACTGGGCAAAGAAAGGGGGAGTAGTGAAGCGACTTTTTGATAATTGGATGTGATATAAAAGTCTAAAAACAGACTTGAAAGACGTGATGGCAAACTTAAAAATTAACAAAAAAATGAATCAAAATAATTTATTATTATTTATTGTTATAAGTTATCATCAAAATTCTACGTTTCAATGGTGAATTGTCCAGGTGAGGAGAGAACCCCTGTGCTACGAAGTGTGGACATGGTCATGGATATTTTAATAATATTTTTATTATATTTTTAATTATATATATTTTTAGTTAATTATTTTATTACCGACTTGATCGTTAATCTGACCGGTGGGATTACAAAACCCCTGGCCCACAATTTTTTCGGTTTAATATCTGATCTGGTTTTTAAACATGGCAATAAACACCAGAAAAGTGCATTTCTAAGTCGATAATTCTCACGTGTAACAGCTTCCCGTACCGTACCCTCTCCTATCTCCCTGATCCGCCCTTCCTAAGGCCTCTTATCAAGCCTTATCTCTAACTCCATAATTCTCACATATAGCAGGCTCCCCGACCACCATGTCCATCAACTTACAGTCCCACGTTTTCGCTGGCAACCCTCTAACATCCAAATTTTCAAATCCGGGCAATCCGTTTTCACCCACGACTTTTATTGAAACCATTAAAGCCAGACTATTGGACAATACCCAATCTGCATCCTCTCCTAATTTCAAGGTTTTGCCTTTCAGTTGCGGGAGGCCCTTGGCCTCTTCAACTTCTGTTTCCGGCGAATTGCCGCCGGTTTGGAATCTGGGTTGGATCAGTTTGGATGATCTCATCGGGCTCTTTGAAAGTATTAGTGTTCAATTGAGCGGAGACCAGTTTGTATACCTGGGTTCGCGCGTTGATGACGACGTCGTTTACGGGGCAATCGATGTTTCTGCTGAGCACGGCCTGGTGCCTTTATTAAGGAGCAAGCAGTTTTGTTTTGCGGAGCTTCGAACGCTCATGGTGGCCACTAATTGGGCGGACTTGCAAGCAATGGGGAACTTGGCTATTGCCGGTCATGTAAGTTATTGTTATTTATTTTGGTCTTTTCTTTTGTTGCACCTTTTACCATTTGCTTTTTCATGTTTTTCTGATGCGATCATACGGGCCAAAACATGAACTGTCGATTTTGCTTTGCGATATTATGAAGTAACTTGTATTTGTAAATACTCGGCTTTTATAAGTTCATTATCATGATTATCCTATGTTGGGAAATTAACTTAAAAGGCAACGGGGAGTTAAAAAAAAAAAAAAAACAGAAAAAGAAGCGAAATATAGTTGCCTTTCTTCTGTTTAAAAGTTTGATAACGAAATGGACACATTGTCTGTTCCCTTTGCTTGGGAGTTATGCTGTACTAAAGTGAACGGAAGGGTATTGTCGTTGTACACTGATTCGCAAAAATAAGGGATTCGTATTATTGTTAAAAATAGAAAAATAAAATAAAGAGGGATGCTACTAGTTAAATGCCCTTGTGAAGATGATGTGTAATTTCTACAATGAATATTAAAAGTGGTTAGCTGGTAGTTAGTTTGTTAACTGGTAGTTAGTTTGTTAAGACATTAAAAGAATAAAAGGGCTTGTTCACTTTCTATATATATATATATATATAGGGAATTCTGTAATGAAAACTGTGCTTAATGAACAGTTCAGAGTATTATCCAGAATTCTCTTGTGTCTCTGTTTTTCTATTCCTTCTATATCTCTGTTCTCTGTTCTCTGTTCTCTGTTCTCTCTTCCCTACATCTTTTCTATTCTTTCCTTATCAACACATCAGTGGTATAGAGCTGAGGACCTTGACCTATATGCCTAAAACCATATTACAAAAAACTCAGCTAGAGATGGCAGAAAGTTCTGAAGAACGTTTTTGTTCCACTGTGGAGGAGTTACACAAATTCTCTTCTTTACCTGGGGCCATTCAGGCCCTGACAACCCAAGTTGCACAGTTGGTTCACGAAAAAGTAGATTCAGCTGAAGGGGTAGTGGAAGCAACAATGGTAGGCTTGGACGACCAAGAACAGAGCACAAAGAATACCAACCTCCCACAAGATTTACCACGGTGGAATTTCCATGCTTCCAATGCTTAGATATTTTGGGTTGGATCTTGAAGTGTGAGAGGTACTCATGTAAACAAAGAAAGATATCAAAGACTTGTGCAAATATTAATATATCTCTCACATACTTGCCCTGACATTAGCTACCCCGTTGGTGTAGTAAGTCAATTTTCTCATAATCCATGAGAAAAATGCATGTAAGCTCTTTGATCAGATTTTGAGGTATCTTAAGATGAATCATAGAAAGGGAACATTTTTTGAAAACGATAGATCAAGAGGAATAGAGATTTATACAGATGCTGATAATGGAGGTGCACTTGATGATAGAAGGTTTGATCCAGGATATTTTACCTTTTTAATGATCCAGGATATTTTACCTTTTTATGGGGAAATTTGTTTACTTGGAGAAGCAAGAAACAGTCTATGGTCCCTCAAAGTAGTGCCAAGTTTGAAGCTAGGTCATTGGCTCTAGGAGTTTGTGAAGGAACATGGTTGATGGGATTACTTAAAGGACTGAAGTTTGTTTTTCAGTTACCAGCTCAATTGTGCTGTGATAGCAAGTCAGCAATGGAAATGGTGAATAACCCTATTCATCATGACCGAACAAAGTATGTGAAAATAGATAGACATTTCATAAGGGAAAAGATTCAATGAGGCATGATCAATTTGAACTATATCAATACTAAAGCTCTAGTGGCAGATCTTTTAACAAAACCGCTTGCAAGAACCTGATTGAAGAGCTAACTTGCAAGCAGGGGGATGCTTGACATATATTCCCCAAGTTGAGGGAGACTATTGAAGATACAGTCTCAGCCCAATAATATGGGACCATTCATATTCCTAGCTAGATCGTAGTTGCTATCTTATCATATCATTAGCTTTATGGGATTGAATAAATCTCTTTAATGTAGTTTTATCCTCTATTTTTATTGCCTAGAATCTTGGTATCTGCTAGTGTGATTTTAGCTGACCAATCTCCTTATATTGTAATAATTTTCCCATTTGAATAATGAATAATCAAAGTCTGATTTCCATTACCACATAATAGATTTAGATTAAAAACTGAACTTGGGATAAAGGATGATAATACATAGTGTTTGCTATTTAAACTGTACTCCACGATTAATGAGGCTTGAAGGAATTGAAATTAGTGCTGTGAAGAGTAGGGGATGTAATGACATCCCTGTTTCCATTCCTTTATATCTTATTTATTCTTTTTTTTTTTTGGGGGGGGCATCTACCAACCATTTTTTGGATGTTATATTGCGCCTGGCATGTTGAGCCAGGTTAAACCACGTGTGTGTAAAGCCTTATTTAATTTTGAAATGTCTTTAAACATGGGCAAACTTTTACTCTCCAATGTTTCCTATTTCATTCTGTTCTTTCAGACTTCTGTGAACAACACTAAGGTGAACTAACATATGAAACTACTTGGCTAGGCCAGGCGAGGGCGCTGCTGGAATGGCATAAATTATCACGTTTTTGTGGACATTGTGGAGAGAAAACGTTGCCTATTGATGCCGGGAGGCGGAAGCAATGTTCAAATGAATCTTGCTGGAAAAAGATATATCCACGAGTTGACCCGGTTTGCCTTCTTACAATTCCAGCTGGTGATGGATCTGTTGATGATCATGTATTTTTTGATTTCTTTTAATTAGATCTTGTGCAGGTGGTCATTATGTTAGTCATTGATCAAGAAAATGACCGTGCCCTTTTGAGTAAACAATCAAGATTTGTACCAAGAATGTGGAGCTGCTTAGCAGGTTTTATAGAGGTAAATTTCTGCCCCATCTTCTACCAGTTGTTCCTTCTTAGGGACTCAAAATCTGATGTCATAAAAATGAATGGGATCGCTGGTTCCTGTCAATTATAATCTGACTAATTAACAAATTAATAACCCAAATGAGCAAAGCATGATCTTTCTTAAATGATCCTTTCCTCATGTAGATCTGATGGACCTACTGTCTATATAATCTGATTTCCTAAAATTCTTGTTTTCTTTGTCATTCTACTTGTTTTAAGTATTGTTTGTGCTGGCAGACATGTTGAACTCTAGAAAGTCAATCTCTTTCATAGAAGGGTCAATTCTTTTTTTATTGATTTAAAGATTCATTTTATGCATAGACAATTCTTTGTTCCAAGTTGTTTTAATTCAACCTTTCTCCATATTTAAAACTTTTTAGCTTGCTCTTTCTTTTGCCTTTAGCCAGGAGAAAGTTTAGAGGAGGCTGTGAGAAGAGAAACATGGGAGGAGACTGGTATTGAAGTGGGAGAAGTTGTGTATCACAGTTCTCAGCCCTGGCCTGGTATGATTTATGTTACATGCGTTGGTGTTGCTCTAACTCTATGCTTTTATAATTTCATTCCCATGTTAGTTATATGTGATATTTTGTGTTTATCAGTTTCTAACCATCTGAAAATGTAACATGAGATTGCAGTTTGTTGTTGTTTAATCACTTGGACTTTTGAGTCTATTTCATGTTTGTACTATCTAGTTGCATATCTTGTATTTTTTAGTCACTAGAATTTTGATTCTTTCAGGCATCCTTGCTTGATTTTGCTTAGTCATCTGGTTAGAGGATGCCAATAAGTTTTCATGTTTTTTCATCGTTATGTCATGGTATGGTGTCCTTTATTCATAATGTAACGTGAAAGTTTCATCAGTGACTATTTGTGCTTTCATTTTTAGTCAGCCTTCAATAGCTAATGCCTGTATGTCTGCACGCATGGGTGTGCGTGCATGTATTATGACTTTTTCTCTCAATTACTTTATAAATCTGGGTTTTCGTATTTTTGTCTATTGAAAGTTTCTTTTCCATTCACTTTATTTCTAGTTGGACCAAACAGCATGCCATGCCAACTTATGATCGGATTCTTTGCATACGCGAAATCTCTTGAAATAAATGTGGACAAGAATGAGTTAGAAGGTAAATTGAAGTCGAGCACTTGATTTCATTTACCTATTTCCCTTGCCTCGTTTGCGCTTGTACTGCACCTATTTTTACTCTCCCATTATCTTATCCATCAGGAATGCATTGTGATTGTGATGGGTTAGTGGCACATTTTTTATTGAGCTGTTTGCTAAACCTAAAAAGCAAGGTATTGAAAATTGGACCATTCATTGAACCTATCAATGCATTGGTTCAAAGATTAATGATTAAAATCATAATCAAACTGTGATGAAACCAGTCACAGACAAAGCATTTTATTAAATCAATCAAGACACTAGTTTAACAGTTTACCGGTTTTATTAGACAGGTTCACCTGGATTTCCATACTATGGTAAAAAGTATCAATATGTTTAAACATATGATTTTTTTTCTGCTTCTATTGTTTTTCATGGAACAAATCGCAATTCACTACTTTTAAAAGATATACATGATGCTATTGTTGTTAAGCTTTCTTTGTTCTTGACACTGTCAGTAAGAGTGGGTTAATAGACAATAGTAGATGTCACATTTCATTTCTAAAGGCTTTCTTTGCATTCCTACACTGGTAGAAAACAATTCTAAGCTAATTAGGAACCAATTACATTTTAAATTAATAATTATAAATAAATAACCAAAAGTATGACATGATTCTTTTCACAAATTCTTTTAAATTTTCTAATTGATTTTAAGAAGAATCATAACTAAGTCTATAAATACTGAATTGATTTTATTCTTGTCTCATCATATTACAAACCTATAACTCCTTTATAAAGGACAAATAATAAAGTAGGTTATGAATACCCCTTGTATATTATTATTTATTCCATGAACTTAAGGAATTTAATTTATCCTTACCATGTTTCCAGATTTTTTTTTTTGAAATATATAACTTGAGTTATACTTATCCAAGTGAAGTGCTTTTGGTTTAGTTTGAAAACCATATGCATTGTCTAAAAAAAAAAATGTAAATGGGCTTAGACCTGTCCATTTGACACTACTTATTCCTTAACAACACTTCTGTTAGTCCATTATTCTGGATCCAGATTTTATACTTTAACTTGAAAATTCTAGATAAATCATTTTTGTGTGATTTTTTATTTGTTTGAAAGCTGGAAGAGTCTAACATATCAGAAAAGTATTTAGAAGAATTTTATAGGGCTCAATTGATACAGTTTTCACGTTGAATCTTTCTCCCTGTTCTGTACCTAACCTTTTTTATCTTATTTCCGGACTTGCATATTTGAATAATCATATCTCATGCTATAAAAATTCAAATAACGTGATCGGGGTGTCATTTGAAAGCTTAGAATGTCTAATAAGTAGTGACAAAATTTGATGGTTAACATCAGTATCAACACAAAAATCTCTGTTATAGAAAACATACACATTATCAACTTACAAAGTCATTTATTTACAGCTAGGTTGATTTTTTTGTTTTTGGACATTGCATACAAACCCAAAATAGATTAACCATAATCCAGAAGCACCTATTAATATATTACAGCAGCAACGTCCAGCTCTTAGAAGCACAAACTTAAATACATGTACCATTATATTTACACAAAACTCATTTAAGATAAATCCATAAATTCAAACTTCACTTGCCTTTCCTTTGTCTTTGCTTGAGCTTGGCCCTAGCGTGGTTAGTAAATTGTGGGGAAATCTCAGTAGTAAAACATACACTTATTCAGGATATATATATATATATATATTGGCCCACGCATTTTAATTCACAAACACACTTTCAGCGCTATGCACAAATTTCTACTGGCATGGAAACATGGAAAAGAGATGTTTTCCAACATTTGCTTTCCAGAAATCATATTTGAGCATGTACTCAAGTTACAGCATTTAAGAGCTATCATTTTCACAAACATAGCATCCATTATCATGCACATGCAAAACCAAATTCATACACCTAAGTTAATATAAGTTTTGCTACCTTAAATTCCCTAGCTTGCGATAGTCTTCTCTCCCTCCTTGTTATCCTAGATTGCCTATTCTTTGACTTCTTTTCTTCTTCCCGTGATCTCTTCAATTTTCCCTCTCTCTCGATTTTGATTTGCAGTAGCTAATGAAGAATAATGGAACATGGGGCTAATGGATATATATATATATATAGGTGCATTTGAGATTATGAGAAGCAGTGATAAAAAATTTTGTTTTACCGAAAATGATTTCTCAAACCTCAATTGTTGCCTGTCCAATTTCACTTCCTTCTAATCTTATTCTTGTGCCACCTAATCTAAATCGTTGCCACCTATTTCTAAACCCATGACTTTAATTTTATTTTCTTTTCCTTGTGCTTGATAGTGGATAATAGCCGAAATTGTGCTCTTTCTCCTCTCCTATATTTGTTGTTTTTTTCCCTTTTGTTTCTCTTGCAATAATTTGATCGTGGACATAAATTGAAGAGAATGAAGGCCTATATAAATATATATGTATATATATTAATATGTAGCCATGAAACAATAGCTTGTTTTATCAAAAAAAAAAAAAAATAGCTTGATGGGAACGATGTACTAATGTCACATAATAATTCATCATCTTATAATTTATACTTTGGTCATGACAACTAACTTTTAATATCATACATTCACTAACTTCTAATTTAATTTGATATTTATTCTATTTATTTCGCAAGTGGAAAAGGGAAAGCATGGTTAATCTTATAACCTACCTCGAATAAATCTTTCCAGTTAAACCTTTATAAAAATCAACCTTTGCTTTTATGGTTGATGTATTTTCTAAAATATCCCATGTCATAATTTATCTCAATGCAAAACAAGCAATTTAATCAGGAATAGTTGCTTGTTTTAGGGATGTTAGAGTAGATGAATCCTTTCAAAACATTAAGTGCATGCTTTGCGTACGGAAAATTGTTTTCTAGACAGGACAAAGAAATTGTATTTAGAAAGAAGATGGATTCTTGTGTGAAATTACGAAGTGATTTATATCTCAAAAGCATTTCATTTGATTCTTGTGTAGATGCTGAGTGGCACAGTAGAGAAAATGTAAGAAAAGCTTTGACGTATGCAGAGTACAAGAAGGCCCAAAGAACGGCAGCTTCTAAGGTAGAACAAATGTGCAAGGGAGTGGAAAAGAATCAGAACTTGGCTGCAGATTTCAACGTGGAAAGTGGTGAACTTGCTCCTATGTTTGTTCCTGGACCCTTCGCAATAGCCCATCACCTTATTCCTCTTGGGCATTTCGTGATCCTGATAATTCAAAACAACCTAGTGGCTCTTTGTCAAATTTATAGGAAGCAAGAGAGATTTCGATCCAAAGCCTTATTTATTACTATGGTGCATCAAAAGAAGCGTGAGACTGAGCTATTTGGCCACTTTTGCTCGCCGAATTATCGTGAAGAGTCTGCGCTCGTCCAATTGAAAAATCTCTTGATTTGGTGGCATGTGGGCTCGGTAGGATAGCCATTCAAACGTTTGTGTCAATAGTGTAGTTCATATATATATATATATAGATATATTCTTTTCAAATTTGTCAGAAAAGGGGTATTTTTTTTTACTATTTTGAAATGATTTGAAGTATTTGTGATCATTTCTCAATTACATGGTAGAGACTCAAGCGATCTCAAGGTGTCTTGATTTCTATCAAGCGAAATGGATTCTTGGGATTCCTTATCACAGTTTTCCAGAGGTTTCTGTATAATTCCATCCTGTATTACCATAATAGCCTGCTTATGCTTGTGATTATTTGTACATTTTCTACCGTAATAAAGCACGTTGTGGTTTGATCATTTTAAACTGTGGCAGAGGTTTTGTGGGATTGGGTATGTCAACCTGCATCTTAGAGTTCTCTTTGCATTCTCAAGAGAGGGCCAACAAAGAACTTCATATAATACAACTAAGATGACGAGGCTTGACCATACAGAGCAAGGCCCAAAGGGTGAAAGTGGTGTGCTTGGAGGAGCCCAAGAGATCCCATACATGTTCAACAAGTTTCAAGTTTAAGAATACAAGTCTATTGTGTCTTAGAATTTACTATTAAGTTTTGAAGGTCCATTGGTGGGAGCCCAATTCATCAAAGATGGTATCTAAGGAGGGCTTTTTAATGAAAATCTATGTGTTACAAGCTCCCATTTAATGGAGAACTCATGTATTTTGAAGAGGAGTCTAAAGACCAATTCAGTAAAAGCCCAAAAGAGAAGATTAATATGAATCAAGCCCAAATTATTAATTAGACATACCCTCTTCCAAGCCATTAAAAAGGATCTTTTTAAACCCATTCCCTTTAAGGAACACTTGCCCAAGGCCCAATACAATGAAGATCTAGCCCGAAACGTCCAAGCCTTGAATACTTACTCTCCATGTGATGAGTGTGGGGTAGGATGATAGTACATGTAAAATTTTGACAGAAAAAAAGTGTATTTCTCATTCATATATTTTCTACTGTATGCACGGATTCTATATATACACATCAAGAGAGATAAAACATGATAAATACTAATAAAGCCTAATTAATAATGTCAATAAATGCTAATTATTCACAATAATGACATAATATTCCCACAATTCCTCTCAAGTTGAATTATAAATGCTAATCATATCCAACTTACTTATACAACTCTCAAATGCAAGCTTAGGTAGTCCCTTGGTTAGCACATCCGCAGCTTGTAACTTTGTAGGTAGATATGTCAAACATACAATGCCTCCTTTTACTTTCTCTCTGATAAAATGTCTATCCACTTTAACATGTTTAAATCTCTCATGCTGTATAGGATTCAATGCCATGCTTATGGCAACATTGTTATCACAATACAATTTCATTAGTGGATTAAATTTGACTTGTTTTTCTTCCATGACCCTTCTTATTCGTAGTTCTTCTATAATCCCTTGAGCTAATGCTCTCAAATCTAGTTCAACATTCCTTCTGGATAAACTCTGCCTTTGACTTTTCCAAGTCACTTGGTTTCCCCACACAAATGAGTAATAGCCAAATGTGGATCTCCTGTCTCTATATGTCCCCCCAATCTACATCTGTAGAGATCTCAATTGTCCTTTGATCTTGCTTCTTGAATAGCAATCCCTTACCACGCGTACATTTGAGGTATCTAAGAATTTTATATACAGCTTCCAAGTGTCTCTTCCTTAGATCACACATGTAATGACTAGCTACACTAACAACAAAAGCAATATTTGGCGTTGTATGGGATAGATAAATTAGCTTCCCAACTAATCTTTGATATCTATCTTTATCAATGGTTTTTTCTTTTTTCTTGCCTTTTTCAATTTCATCATCAAAGTTGTCTTCTCCTTTTGACTCTTTTGTGCTGCTTTTCTCAGACTTCTTCTTTCTTGAGACCATAATAGAAGTTTCCTCATATTTACAACCTCACATGCCAGTTTCCTTGAAGAGATCAAGAATATACTTCCTTTGAGATACATATATGCCTCATTTTGACCTTGCAACTTCTATCCCGAGAAAATATTTCAAGTTTTCAAGATCCTTAACTTCAAATTCCTTACTAAGGATAGTCTTTATCCTTGCTATTTCATCAATATGATCTCCTATAAGAATTATATCATCAACATACACAATAAGGATGCACTTCTTAGCTCCCTTAGCCTTAGCAAACATCATATGATCTGATAATTCTAGGCAATTGTTTCAAGACATACAAGGATTTCTTCAACTGACATACTTTGTCACTTCTACCTCTATCAAACTTAAGTGGTAAAGTCATGTAAACTTCATTCAATTCTTCATTTAGAAAAGCATATTTGATATCTAGTTGGCTGCCATTGACAATAGAAATTTGATACTGTTTAGTTTTGCTAATGGCGCAAACATCTTTTTGTAGTCTATACCATATGTCTAGGTTAAACCCCTTGCTACTAACCGTCCTTTTAACTTATCAAGAGTGCCATCAGTCTTATACTTTAGGGGTAAAGACCTACTTGTAACTAACTAAATTCTTACCTCTAGGTCTTGCAAGAATCTCCCATGGTCTATTTTTCTCCAAAGCTCTCATTTCCTCTATAACAATATTTCTTTTCTAGTATTTTCAGTGCCTCTTAGATGTTGTTAGGAATAACAACTTTATCCAAATTAGTGATGAAGGCCCAATAACTAGGAGAGAGAGCCTTATAAGATAGATGCTTCTAAATTGGACGCAAAGTACAAGATCAAGGTTGTTTCCAAAGAGAAATAAGTAGATCAAGATTAGTAGATTCACTTTCTTGTTCTAAGTCATCTGGATTATTAGATGGATTTGTCCTTGGTGCCTCAGCTTCAGGAACTACCTCTAGTTTTAAGTCTCTTGGTTCCTTAGGTACAAATTGCTCACTTTCTTTTGTTTTTTTTCTTTTGAATGTAAACTAACAAATCTCCCTTTTATGGTCTTTCCACATCTCCCTCTATTTTCTTGTTTTCCTTAAACTCTAGCATAAGAGAAGACATTGGTGAAGGTGGGGTATTGGACATAAAAAATTGGTAAGCATAGGTTTTGGTAGTAAGGGTGATGGTTCTGGTGAAGGAGGTAATGACTTAAGAAGTACATATTTTGTGTTAGGTTCTAGTTCTCAAGTTTAAGATTCATCGATACTCTCCCCCTGAATTGAAGAATTGGGATAAAAAGAAGTTTCTTCATGGAAGGTAACATCAAGGCTAACAAGGATGAGTTTAGAAACAGGATCAAAATATTTATATCCTTTTTGAGTAGGAGAATAGCCAAGAAAAATGCACTTGATAACTCGAGGTTCAAGTTTACTACTTTAGTGGATATGAACAAAGGTTATGCAACCAAACACACAAAGTGAAAGTTTGGTTCAATGTGGGATGTAGGAAAAACACTTTACAATTTTTTGAGAGGAGTTTAAAAGACTAAGATTCGACTTGGCATTTAATTAATAAGATAGGTCATGATTAAAATGGCATCCCTAATAAAACTTTGGCACATTGCAAGTGAATATGAGTGCTCTTGCAACTTCAAGGATATGTTTATTTTTCCTTTCTACAATCCCATTTTATTAAGGTGTATGGGCATAGGTACTTGTATGGTCAATACCATGCATCTGGAGAAAATTACTCAATGACCAGTTGAAATATTCAGTACAATTGTCAGTGTGTAAGACTTGAATGCTAGTGTTGAACTAGTTTTCAATCATGGTGAAAAAACTCATGAATGTAGATGCAGCCTCGAACTTGTTTTTTAAAATATAAACCTAACAAACACAAGCATGGTCATTAATGAAGGAAATGAACCATTTTGTTTGAGTATGGTTTAGGGTGCGAAATGGTCCCCACAAGTCACTGTGAATAGTTATGAAACGTGTGGTGGTTGTGTATTTGGCTCTAGGAAAGGAAATTACTAACAATAGGTGAGTTACTCACTCGAGTAATGACTTCTAAATAATAGAGTCCCTCATATTCCTTGGCACTGCTGATTGTTGCATCAGATGATAGATCCTGAAACACACAATGTGAAAAGAGAAATTTAGCAAAACAATTTGAGTGCCTAATCAATTGACTAATTGAAAGTAAGTTGCAATCAAGTTTTGGCACATGGAGGGAAAATTCCAAAACAATAGAATCTAATATATGAATACTCCCTTTTCTCGCCACCGATACTAAGGAGCTGTCTGCAATTTTTACTTTGACATTTCCAGCACATGGGGTGTGAGTGGTGAATAATTAATTAATCATATGATCGGATGCCCTAGAATCCACAATCCACACCACTGTACTTTGAATGGTCTTTAAAGCTTGAAGAAAAGATCCACTTTTCACCACTAATGCCATAAGTGCAAATCTGGAAAAGTTATGCACAACACTGCACAGGAGTGTCCATAGCACCACTCCCAATTAATAAGGGCAAGACTTTGTGATAGATTGAAATCAAAAGCCACAATCCAAGAATGACCTAGAACACTTGAAACGAACTCCTAAACAAACTGTAGGAGTAAACAAAATGTGAAGAAGAGTACCCAAACATGAAACATGCTGTGATCGTGTTGGAAAAAGAATTTCATTACTAAAAAGAGGTGTCATGTCCTGAATGAAGGTGTCATGTGCCTCTACGCTCCACCAAGAGAAGACTGGCACATGACTTCAAGCAATGTGTATGGCCGACACTTGTTGGCAATGACAACATCCTTTGGGGTTTTCATCAATCGGAGCCTTCTGAACTTGCCTAGGGGGTAGTAAGAGCAACAATGGTCTTGAACATCACTTGCATAACAAACCTAGATTGCTATACAAAATGCCTTACACAAGCCATTGCCCAAAGAAACCCTAAGACATATTTTGGATCATTTGCTCTGATACCATGGGAAATTTTGAGAGAGGAAAAAAATGCATTTCTCATTCATATATTTTCTAATGTATACACTGGTCCTATATATACACATCAAAAGAGATAAAACTTGATGAATACTAAAGATGCCTAATTAATAATACTAATAAATGCTAATTATTCACAGTATGATATAATATTCCCACAATACATGTTCTTTAGAGCTGATTTGAAGGTATTAAATGGCATGATTCCCATCCTCTTCAAGCCTTCAATAAAAATTTGAATTGTTTTCTATTTTATTTAAAGTTGAAATTTCAAATCTTAATTAATTTTCATTTTCATTTTAAGCTTTAATACTAATTCTTTTCCATTATTGTGGGTTTTATTAGTTGATTTGACTTAGGAATTAAGATTTTAGTTTTTATGAAAATTTTTGAATTCTTCCATTTTAGCCTTTATTGTTAGATCTCCATGTATTAGGGAATCATCCTAATTTGATCAAGAGGAGGCACCACAACTAGATGAGCCATCTAGGGTTAAGATTTCTTGAGTTTTCCATTCTCTTGTTTATAAATAGGCCCAGTTATGTACTTTTTTTCATTATATTATGAATGAAAATTGTCTCTCGAGTTTGGTAAAACTTTGTATGAGCTGTGCTTGCTTGTGAAAATCCTAAGGTGAATATTGACGTAATCAAAAGTCTGATCATTATCTTGTGGTGTCTTGAAGGCTAAGGTTGCTAGAAGCAGGTATTCTATTTAACCTTTTCCTTAGTCCTTATCTTTCTTTTCCATTCCATTTATCTTTATTTTCTTCTCTTCCTATATCTTCCTCCCTTTATTTCTTTGTTTCATTTTATTTCTTACTTGTGTTCTACATTTTGTCCCAAACTTATCATTGGGTATTACAACCTGCATTAGAGCTTTTTTTTTTTCGCTTAATTGTTTATAGATATTTTCTTATTAGAGACAATCTTGTTTGAGGGATAGTCAAGTACTAAATATAAACACATTTCTCAGCATAAATTCAAACTTTGATTTGTCATGTTATAAGGGACTAACCCTTTTTGCTAGGCCCAATTCTCATTGGTGGTTCTTCTATCATTTCATTCCTTGGCCGTGGTTTGCATCAATTTCCACTATGTCTATAGCATAAGACTCCACATCCTAGGATTTGTTATCATTCCTCTTACTGTTATCCTTTGATCGTGTTTGTGCCACTATTCCAGCAACAGTCCCTATCAAGAATGTCAAAAAGATTGTTCTACACGAGATGAATTCATCGCCTGATGCACACCAAGCATGTCAAGGGAGTTGATTCTTCATCAAAGCATTGATTAATGTAAATGCTTTGCAATGTACGTATAAGCAACTAAAAAAACTGATTAATGTAAACGCTTTGCAATGTAGGTCTAAGCAACTAAAGATCTAGAACTTAATGGGTAATTCCAGGACAAGATAGTGAAAACTAAATAAACTGTACTTCATTTAAAACAATCATACAAACTGGATAAGCTAAAGAGTAGAGATGGCAATCTTGGAGCGAAGAGTTGTCTTCGTCAAAGTAAATGTATAAGTATTGTTCTGGATAATTGTGTGTGTTCCTCAAAGATTTCTGTTCTTTCTTAACGTTAGGTAGTTACTGTCTTGAATAAATAACTGTCAGCACAATATTTTCCTTAAACCTTCGCTACTCCAAACAATTACTTCACTAAAGGTCCTAGTTGGTTTGGATCTTAATCCATTTGTTGAAATGATGGGAGCTCATCGAAAAAATATAATTTTAAATCCTTATACTTTGCTCATATTTTATTATTAATTTTTATACTTTTTTTATGTTTTTGATCTCTATATTTTTATTTTTTATTATTTTAAGTCCCTCCATCAACAAAGTATGAGAACTTTGGAAGAACCTAAAACAATAAAAAAAACAAAAATACAGAGATAAAAACACAAAATATATAATAACTAATAACAAAATGCAAGCAAAATACAAGGATCTAAAATTATATTTTTCTAAGTTAATAAAATGACATGTTTTGATTCATCTTGAGATCTTCCGCCTCATTGTGTACTAGTAACTTCCTGGCCAGATTTACAAGGGATCCGGATGGGGATGCAAATTAATAATAATGGAAAACTAAAATTTCCCATTGAAGTTCAGTCAAATTTTAGTTCATCGGGAGATCTTCCACTTCGTTGTGTACTAACTAAACTAAACCATGTTACATAACTAGAGGCGAAGGCTGGCTCCTAAACAGGGTCTAGCCCATAAATTCGGAGTGCGATCCACGTGTTGTCGAACCGTGTCCAAAACTCTACAATTAGCCCAGAGTTAAACTTCGAACTCCAAATAAACCTAATTCATCAGCTTATCTGCCTCCTCCATTCAAGTTCCGATTCCGATCAACCTAAGCTGTCATTGAGGCAAAAGCAAACCCAATTATATTTTGAGTCTGCCTAGACTACATGGATCATGTGGAAATTATAACTTTAATTTCAGCTGTCGGAGACTAGAATCACCACATTCAGATTCAGAAATTTTATTTAAAGTAACTGTTCATGCAAAGAAATCTAAGAGAGTTAACTTACAAAAATACTCATTAACTTTTTCTCCAAAAACTTCTAATATTCATAAATCAACAATAATACATGGACACTTAACTATATAAAAAAGGCCAATCTTCTTCAATTCATTAAAATAGCCTCATGTTAACGGTTAAGTTCTAATGATAGAATTTAACAGATTGGGGATAATTGGCCTGTTTTATAAAGTTAACGAATGCTTATGCATCATTATTGACTTTAGGATACTGGAAGTTCTCAAAGAAAAAGTTTTTGAATATTTTTATACCTTGACTCAATTTAAAATACAGGTTAGGGTGCAGAGGGAATTACGATATTATTCTGTGGGCGGCCCCAATAGAATCCTTGGAGGACGATAGGCAATACGTTGCAAGCTGCAAGGATATAAATCGCTAAAGCATGCATACCCATCCATTTTATGACCGTTGCAACGCGACTATATCCACATACATCAACCTGCATTATTATTATTATTTTTTTATTGGGAGGCACAAAATGATTAGACACATTTTACAAAATTACCGGCATACCGAGTTGCAAACTAAATAACGTAAGAAAGCTAGAATGAATCATCAGCTCCGAATAATAAATTAAACTCTACCATCAAGTAAATTCCCGTAAAGAGAATGCCAGCAGCACCAGCAGTGACGCACATATAACTGAATGAGTACAGAACCTTATTTATGTGCATCCCTACAAAGTAAATTACATGAAGAGCAGTTAAGTTAGTAATACATCAATCAACAGCAAAATTATTATATAATTTGATTTGATCATGGTTGGCATTCTTTTCTTTTTTTTTTTTTTTTTGGTTGGCTTCCCAAGATATCCCTACAATCGGCCGTAAGACTAATCTCTTAAAGAATCTAGGTGTCATTTAAGAGGTTATTCTCTCTCAAATGATACTTTTCATACACACCTCTAGGAATCAAACCCTAAATACTTAAGAAGCTTGGACCACTACCATCTATACCATACCCACTTGATTAATTTGAGGCATTCTATTTAGTATAATTTCATGTTCTATTAGGGTTGACCTCATCACATAAATTATTTTGATCATTATAATTATTGTAGAAGGATTTTGTATTCATCTGGATTTCACATTCTTATTGGATACAAGCCCACACAAGTTAAATGAATGGCCATAGTACAATTTATTCTCAACGTTATCTCTTCCATTTCTTTGTGCCTTCCTTGAATTTCACTCTGTAAACTTTGATTAATACTTACGTAAGTTAGGAGCAGCATGCTTACCAAATAGGTCCAAGGCAAAACCAAAGACTACTAGACAAGAAGTTGGGATCATCCAGTGTAGGATTCTCACTCTGTGGTCCTGCATACAATAACGTGGATAGAACAGTAATAAAAAGAAAACTTATCTTGTTGGAGAGCAATAAAAAGATATTTAAAAACTGTGTTACCTTAAAATGGACTATAATATGTCCGTACTGCAGGCCGACCAAGCAGGTAACAATAGCCATCACTGAGCTACAAATCCCATGGAAGCCAGTCATAAAAAAGGGAAAATATAGGGAAGGAGAAAGAACTGCTTCAAATTTAAAATAATTTCTACCATAAAAAATATACGTGAAAAAAAAAAGGCCATTCCATTTATGTTGCCTAGCAGCAATTATTTAGATGGAAAGCCCAGAGAAAGCAACTTGTCACCAGGGGGTGAGGGACTAATTAGTGTCAATACAAGATGCTCAATTACTTCTCAATTGTCTAAATTATATCTAGACAAAGACTTCACTTTTGATTTCTTTAATTTTTCATTTCGGTAAAAAATAAAATTAAAAAAAAAAACAGATTGTTCTCAAAATTCCACCAGTCACCAGACAAATTGGTTGTTTGACAAAAAATAAAAGAATATCTCAATCCCATAATTTTTAAATAAAAATATCAAATAAATTACCAATCTGATTGAGATTAAGACCTTCCACAAATCAGATTTGAACTTTTCAAGTTAATTGCATATCAATTGAGAGGCAATTGAGAATGGTCAACTCAGAAGGCTTGAGCATGCTTCAATATGGGAGGGGAAATTTACTTGGAAATTGAGTTTTGTCTCTTTCAATAACCAAACTACACGATACTCTTTAATTAAAAAAATAAAAGAGGAAAAAAAGAACCAGAGAGTTTTCCAGGAGTAAGCTTGCTTTCCAGGTTTGGGCCTGATGTGAAAACTTCATAAAAAACTTTCAAAAAAATTGAAAAAGAAAAAAAATATATTTTTATTAGAAATATTATAATCAAATTCATCCAAAAAATATATTTTATAAAATAATTTTATGACAAAAATAATACTTTTTTTGAAAATCATGAATATATAATATTCATATATTATTTTTACATACATTAATTTAAGAAATCAATTTATAATTTTAAAAATAAAAGGAATGAAACATTAAAAAGTTTTAATATTAAAAACTTAGAAGAAAAATATAAAGAAAAAAATGTATATCAGGCCAACCGGGCAGAGGACGTGCTGCTTGAGGCCCAGCCAGGCCCTATATATTAACCCAGCCCAATGTGGGCAGATATATCAGGCAGATCAGACCTCCCAGGCTACATTGCTACGAGCTCATTGAACACACTCTTTGTAGTAGGATTAAATGTTGTGTTATCCTTTTATAAGTGATATCATGGCAAGAAAATCATGCCAATCTAAAATGAGAGCAACACGTCTTATACTAGGAGAAAAACATTCTGAATGCCATAAATAAGTAATAATCATCAGCTGTATTCTTCAATATTTCCACTTTGTATTTGTATATCAAAAATGAAGTAGGAAAAACCAGGACAAAATAACAAACTAACCTAAGGAGTCCTTCAGGATCAAAAGGGGCTTGACACCAAGAGGGAGCACCATGAGGCAGGGGTCCATAGTCTGGGGAATTAATACTGCACTCCTATTTAAGGGGAAAAAATAAAGGTAAAATGGTATCAAAAGATAAATAAGCAAACATAGTCAGGCGATCAATATAGAAGAAAGTGTACTTGCATCCTTGCATAAACTGGTCTCCTGTATAAATGCTGTATGCCCAATATCTTACGATCAATCATTCCAACCGCGTTACAAGCTGGTCCAGTATCAGCCCTAACCCCGCATTTAACCTGGTAAACAGTTTAAAAGGTTACACAGATTCCATTTCCAACGAATATCCACAGTTAAATTATAACAAAAAATAAATCCTAAACTTCCCATCAACAGACTTGAACAGTAAACATCACACTTACAGAAAATATCTTTGGTGGTAAAGAAGGCTCTGTTGGAATCTGATACTCCCAATCAGGAACATACAAGCCATATAGCAAGGAAAGATAAATGCTAGTAAGAAACAGAGCCACACCCCTGTTAAAGTCCAGATATTAGCAACGCATGGCTGTGATGCAAAATAAACTGTAAATCTAAGACAAAAGCGTGCGTCAGAGGAGCAGACACAAAGCATGCACCATGAACACTAAAATTGAATTGCAAGCAGAAATACAGTAACTCCAACACATTTCAACAAGTCATCACCAAGATGAAATTACAATTTCATGCTCATGCAGAAAGTCATAATTTGAAACACAGCAGGAAGGGGGGAATATATCCTGACACATATCACAAACTCCAAAAATTGCCATTTGAACAGCATCTGGTGACAATTATAATTCTTTGCTACCTAGATTCCTTGTATTTATTTGTTCCAATCTCAAAGATTATGCAAAACTACAGGATCAAGAGAAAGTAACCTATTTCAATGTGCCATGTAATGCAGCTTTTGGAGCAAATAAAAATCAATTTACTTCCTCCAACCATTGGCTTTAAAACTGCATTTATATTATTTAAGCATCAATAAATAGTCTACTTTGTAAACTCTGAATTCTAATCAATAATATTACATTCAAATTTTAAGCTTTATAGGTCCCTTGTGATTGATTAAGAAGAGTGATATTTCTTTTCCGTTACATCAAAAAGTTTGGGTATACATAATAATAAAAATGTTTATTCAGTCATCAAATCCAGCATTATCATTATATCTTGAAAGAGTAATTCACCCATGCTTCTTCCAGGTTGACATTAATGTAGCTCCACCAAACCTCAGTTAAGAACATCAAAATTCATAAGGATTATTTAAGCTTACCACTGGTATTGAAACTTTCTTAGTAGAGATGATCCTGAATTAACAGTATCATCACCCTTGAGCCAAATCTCACATAGTGCTGTAACCAAATATGCTACTGCAATTCTCTGACGTCCAATGAAGAAAATAAAAGTAGCCATTATTTATACAGCAAGGACACAGACAACCCCAAAAATACATAACAACAACAAATTTGACTTTCAGTCACTTGCAGAGACATTAAATAGAGATCATTATTATACAGGATGAACACCCAACAAAAAGAAAAATTTCATATGAACTTTCACATTTGGTCACTTGCAGAAACATTTAAGAATTTTGCCTGGATAAATGATTTTAGATCTTACTGTTCAAACTTCTTGCAAATATACATACCCTCATGCTGCCAGTTGGTACATGATGTCTTTTTGTCTTTGTACCAACTACAAGGATTAAGAAAAGGTATAGAGAACCTTTATGAAAAACATACCTGTAGTATACCCATCCATCTGATCTGTTTAATATCCACTCCATATGTCAGATCATTGAGGCCATGGAGAAATCCTCCTGCAGAAAAGGTTGTTAGAGCATTTAACAGAGAAATATAAATATATATATCACAATTGCTAGGGCTCAAAATCTAGCACACACATCATAATTGTTTTCTATTACCAATAACATTATTTGTTTAACACATGTTCCTTTCAAATTGGCATCAACCAATGACACTTGAAACATGGCCAAGGACTTGCTACAAACAAAGACAAAGTTTCAGTTAACCACCTTGAACAAAAACGCCTAACGCCAGAAGTTTAAGTGCTCGCATAATTGCTTTTCTAGTTGAGACCACTCTGGAAGACATCTTCTGTACAAATAAACAAGATTTGTCAAAACAAATAAAGAGGATTCTAGACAGATCCATTATGAAATTGGCTCTAATCAAATGATACAAAATCTAGCCTGCAGAAAGTTACATGATGAAATTAGTTTTAGTCAAATGATACAAAATCTTGGGCGCAGAAGAGACACAATCCATGGTATTAACCAATGTCATAAGAAACATTTTTTGACCAACCTCATTATACAACAGTATAAGGTGGGATACCTTGTATGTAAGTGCAAGCGAAACACCAACTATAAAAAGGAAAAAGGGCATGACAAAATCCGCTAGTGTTAAACCATTCCATGGGGAATGATTAATCGCTGGAATGAGTCCACCAACGTCATCCACCAGTATCATCAGCTGCATGAAGATTGAACAATCAATAGTCGGAATTGTTTTTGGCACAAAATAATCGGAATAAAATGTAGGAATTCTTGAAATATTATCAAGTTTCATTAACCAAAAGATTCATTAATTATGTTCAAAATTAGCCACGTATAGACATTATCAACCATTACGTTACTTAAAATTACTACATTTCGCTTCTAACAAAATATTACAAAACAATATATCATTGACATGTCAGAAAAAATCCAGTTAAACAAACAAGGGCATGTGACGAGCAAGTAGCCCTATATGACGTGCGGGTAACTTTCAAAGGATAAATTATGTGTCTTTGATGGGTGTGGTAAACTGAGGATTGCCACGCTAGCTAGGTCAAAGGTTCAATTTGCAAACTTGTAAACAAATATCATTATGAATAAAATAAGGGGTATCTGGTAAGCTATTTAAGAAGACGATCCACGACAGGGGGAAAAAGTCAAAACGACCTTAAGACGGAAAAAAGTCAATGACAAGTGAGTACGTTTCTATGTGTGGTCTGTGTCGGCATATTATTTGGGATAGATAAAGGCTTGGATCACAGCTCCAATACACGAATGGTACTCGCGAGAATCTCATGTATGATACTCTATTAATTGTCAATTCAAAAAAACTGGAAAAACCTATAGGGATAGTTTAGACTTTTCTAGTTTAAAGGGTCCACTTTCATAAGAGTGAAAGACCGTCACTAAGAAACGATGGATCAAGGCACCAAACGAGTGCATGATATAGCGTCTCTTCAAAGTAAAGCAAGAAGAAATTAATTATAGGTGAACTGTATCTATAACGACCCCATTTCTGAATGATTGCAAGCATCACAGCGGGCTAAATTTGGAATAACCGAATTTTTTTTTTTTTTTTTAATAGACGCAGCTCTATATTTGGCATGCCGACCCGGTCCTCGGTCTTGGGCTCTTACTATCTAAGAAGAATAAAAAAGAGAGACAAAATAGATGAAAGAAACTAAGGACAAAGGCAAAAAGAAGGAGAAAAAACGTTCAGGCCAAATGGGACGAACGACTCACCTTCTCGCCTGCGCCGGAAACGCAGCCGTTAAAGCATCATTAACAATCATATAAAAACAAGTTCTGAGATAATGGGAAGTCTACATGCCATACTAAGTAAGTTTTTTTTTTTTTTTGGGCCAAAAAAAACTAAGTTACTAACCAAACCCCTAATTACTTCTTTAGCAACACAAAACAAAGGGCAAGAGCTAGCAAGAATAGAGAAAGATATTACCGCAACGGTGAGACCTCGGAAAACGTCAAGTGAAACAAGACGTTGAGGTTGGTTCCTGGAAGACGAGAGGGAGTGATCATCGATTTTCTTACTCAATCTTTCCTCATTGGCGTAAGCATTGGCAGATCTTGATTCAGAGATCGGAAGAGCCATCTCTACATCGTCTCGTCCCCTTGCCTGCAGCATTCCACAAGGATCCAACCTGCTTTGCTCATTATCGTCCTCATCGTAGTTCTTGATAGGCTTGTAATTTCCCATGACTCTCAAATCTACCATCAAGTTTTGCCCATCAAAAAATCATCATATTCCCCTCTGCTTTCTCTAAATTCGTATATTTATTCGAGTTTAGCGATACAGAGAATATGATGAAGAAGGTGAACTACTTCACCGAGATGCGCTCTTCCTTTTTCTCGCACTTGATTCTGAAGCCAAAGCCCACTCCACCTCCTTCCTGCTTTGGCGATAGCAAATAAATATTTAAAGGTGGAGGAGGCACAAAATATTTTTTTATTATTATTTTTCGAGTATTATCTTTTTTTTTTTTTTTGCCCGAATTTTACGAGTATTATCTACCTTTACTTTTATCTTTTTTTTGGTGAATCCTCTCCTTTTTCATCTATCGTGCATTTCACACCCATCAACCAATGAGCTTCCCGTTCGGGTTCATAAATGACTTGTTAAACCCAGGGACTGATCTTTGCACATTGTGACGGGCTAAAATTAATTTTAACATTTTTAATAAATAAAAAAAGTAATTTTTAAAGATATGTTAAAACATAATTTAACTTGTCAGTTAATTAATACTTACTCCTTCCATAAAAAATATATAACATTTTTAATTAAATCACAACTTTTAATAAAATAATTATTTATTTTTAAATTAATAATATCTTTTCATATTCAACCTTACTTAATAAAATATTTCACTTTAAAATAAATATAAAATAACTTATTTATTAAGGATACTTTTGATAAAAACACATTAATTATACCTTAAAACATTAAAAATGCTTTATATTCTTTAATATTTAAACTTTAAAAAAATATCTTATACTTTTTAATAAAAGGAGTAATTCTTAATTATGTTAATACATGTAAGGCATTTTCTATAGTATTAAATGTTAAAAAATATATGACAATTTTAATCTTTTAAAATAAAATTAATATATTTTTTCAAAAGTATTTATAATAAGTAAATCACTTTATATTTATTTTAAAACAAAACACTCTATTATATAAAAATAAATATAAAAGTATAATATTAGCTTGTAGAGAATTAACTATTTTATTAGGACACCATATTCGATTAAAAATGCTGTGGTTCTATGCTGAATTCTCCCAAATATATATAAAAATTGTTTTATTTTATGAATATCATTTATAAATTCCAGATATTTACGCAAAATAAAATATACTCGAAAATAATCTGTGGCCGGTGCCAACTCTCAGGTACGTTCATGTCTATCTTTTAAAATTAATTCGGTGAATATATAATTGTTAATGAATTGGTTTCCTTATGAATGCATATTCTTTACTCCTTTTTGCCATGATAATCAATGGATCAATAATCAATAATCAATAATCATCAATAAATTAGATAAAAACAGACTGGCTTGATAATGTTATAATGTTACCCTTGTCATTTATTAAGATAATTTGCTTCCTTGGAACAATTAATTTGAAAGCAGAATTAAAATTAAATACATTCATTTAAAAGTATTACAATCTTTTTGGCCAGATTATATAATTAAAAAATTAATTATATAAAATATTGCTCGTGAAAAATATTATTATATAAAACCAAAATGAGTGGTAATATTCATCGATATTGATTTTTTTTGTTTTAAATATTTTTTTTCAATATATATACACAGAGGAAAAAATCTGTATCCATGTGATGTCGGATAGGATTAAGGATAGTTAACAAATAATTTTTAAATGTGATTTAAATTTCTAAAAGAATATATTTATGGGAAAAATTTATAGACCTTGCTTTACATAGTTAAAGTTCATATTTTCAATTAAATCAAAATATATGTATCTTTTACATGTTATTTATTCTATAATAAATTTTTATTATTAATATTATTAACACATTAAAGTTCATGTGTGATAATTTGATTAGATAAAAGTATATTAAGTAAATAAGAGTAAGTACATAAGTCTTGTCATAAATTTATCTTCATGATTAATTAAATTAAATCAAAGAAAAATAATAATAAAATCCCTTCAAATTATAAAATGGCAATCTGATATCTCAAAATATCATAATTCCAATGAAGTCTCTGGAAATTTTTTTATTAATAAATTTTAAAGTAAAAAGATCATTTAACCTAATCATAACTTTTATTTAAATAATTATAATTTTTATTCTATAAATCAAAAGAGTTAGATAAGAAATCACAACTTATCAAGTATAATTTTGTTATTAAAAAACAAGCTCTAATCATAACTTTTGCTTAAGAAATAATAAATTTTGTTATGTGAATCGCAAAAGTTAAATAAAAAATCACAATTTGTTAAATATAATTTTTATTATTAAAAAATAAATTTTTAAAATAATAAACTCTATTCACAACTTTTGTTTCAATAATCGCAATTTTATTCAAACAACTACAAGAATTAAATAAGAAATCATAAATTGTTAATAAGGGTAAAATAATTTTTTCAATTTAAAATTTATTGAAAAAGAGGTTCCTAAAAATTTCATTAAAGTTATGATATTTTAAGGGATTAAATTATCATTTATATATTCAGAAGAATTTTATAATCATTTTTTCTGAATTAAATTATAAGCTTTTTGTTCTTGAAATAAATAGAGATGTGAATTAAATTTAAAACAAACTTTAAGGAAAATCAGTCCGTAGGTTCTTATAATTTTTATCAATTTTAAACTAGATATATATATATATATATATATAATTTATTTTGTTTTAATTGAATTTTTTAATTTGATACATTAGGTTTCTTCCTAAGATTGAAATTCTTATTAAAAGAGTACTCCCTCCATTCAAAAAATATAAAACATTTTTAACCGAATCTCACCTCCAATAAAGTAGTTACCTACTTTTCAACTAACCCTATCTTTTCATATTTATTTTTATTAAATACCCTATAATAAATATAAAGTCATTATTAATATGAGCACTTAAAAAAAAAGGCAATGATTACATTTAAAAAGACTAGAAATGCTTTACATTTTTTAATATCCAACTCCTCTAAAAATGTCTTGCATTTTTTAAACGAAGTGAGTATATAATTTTAGAATTACTTGCATAAATATTATAATTTAAAATTTATATAATTAATTTATATAATTAATTCATGTCTTCTAAATAATTTTTATACATATAAAGTTTTCAAAAAATTACTAAAAATGTAAATATATTATTAAACCACTGACCAAAAGTAATAAATTAAATTTTTATATATTTCAAAATTATTGTTTTTTGAAAATTTTAATAATTTATTAATAAAAATTTAAAACAGATGCAGGGAACTTTTTCCCTTTTTTTTTTTTAATTCGATGGATTGCCATGATCTAATGAAGCGAAATAAAATGGTCGGTCTAAGCAAGGCTGTCCACTTGTCCTCGAAAGAGCGGTTCAAGATATTAAAAGGCTAACGAAATTCTAAAATTGGTATTTTAAATTTTAAAACTCTATCTTCTGAAAAGCAGAAGTTAGTTAAGAATAAAAAAAAAAAAAAAGAAGAAAACGAAAAGTGTGGATAACAATGATTATTCCCTGTGTTAATTTAATACTGACGTCTTGGAATCCACTTGCCTAAAAATGCCGCAACATTTCCTCACGCGGTAATATGTGTAGCTGGTATTATTTGTATATTTTTACCAATTTGGTTTCTTTTATTATTATAAAAATTGCTTAAAATCAATCAGTATCCTCCGCAAAATTAATATTCTATTTTTTCAAATTATAATACTCTCTCTATTTTAAATTATATTTTTAAATAAAATTTTATATATCAATAAATCTCATTATATATACTTAACAATCTTATACTTTCAAAACAAAAATATACACTTCTAAAAATACTTATAATTTAAGATATTGAAAAGAGAAATGATATAAATTAATTATAAAAAAAGAATAGTATTAAAATTGATGCATTTAGTAAAACCTTAATATACCTAAAGTATCTTATATTTTGAGATAAAAAAATTCTTTTAAAAGTGTCATATAATTTGAAATAAAGGAAATACAATTTTGGAGGAATTTTATAATCTCAAAATATAAAATAATGTGAGAAACATAAAGCTTCACTAATTATACTTGTAATACTCTAAAAATTATACACATGTTTTCTCGAAGTATTTAACTCATGAATTTTACTCAAAACATGGTAAATAAGGATTTACTATGATAGAAAAGAGCTTTTGATGAACTCTAAAAAATTCCTCTCCTTTGTGTCTGTTTTTGAATGGACCTATTTTAAAATTTTTGCATCATGCATCACAAGGAATTATGTGCCACAACACATGACATAGAAACAATGGACTCCATTTAAATTTGTAGAATCAAGTTGGCACCCCAAGCGGGGTACATTGGATGTTCTTAAAAATTTCTCAAAAAACTTTTCCCAACTAAAAGATTGTGCAAAGTATAGAATAGTTTATACACAAGTTTTAGAGTAAAAAGAAGAGTGACACAATTGATTTATCTTGATTTAGTCTATTACTCGACTTACCTCTAATCCCCATGATCACGTTTGAAATTTTTTTTACTATAAACACAAGTTTTAATTAGTGACTACAGTAGAACTACAAGACAAAATCAATTTTGATTTTCAATAACACATTTACCTATATAAGTAAGTTGTTACAATTATACTTGAAAAATCATTTTTAAGATTTCAAAGAACAAAATGAAATAGCTTTTCACAATTGAGACTCTCTAAAAAGAGCAGATATAAAACAATAAAAGTTTATAAACTACTTGAAAGCTTTTTTATAGAATAACAAGTAAAAATTCAATGCAAGACACGAAGGGCCCATTTGGTTTTCTTCCGTTTTACATTCAAAAAGAAAAATTTTACTTTCTAGAAGTTGAAAATTATTTGAGTAAAATATTTTGCAAGAAAGCACATCCTAAAAGTACATTCAAACAGTAACTAAAAGTAAATTTCTGAAACGTAACTATTTGAAACTTTTGAAAAGTATGGTGTTATTTGATCTTACTACCTTAAGTTTAATCTCTTATTCTTTTATTTAAAAATAATTAATTCATTAAAAATATAATTATTATTTCAATAATAATAATTGGGTATCAGTTTTTTAGCATTATAAATTAAATAATTAATCATGTTAATTTTTAGCATTAATGTATAATAAAAATTATAAATCTTTATCACATTTTTTAAAATTACAAATTAAAAGAATACAAATAACTAGAGATTAAATTTTTAGCATTATAAATCAAAATTTATGTTA